CATAATGATAATTATTGTATCTTATATTCAAAATAAGTCAACCAATTATAGTAAATTCTAAAAAGGTTTGGTAATCTGAAAATATTCAATAAGCTTGTTGATTATTATTTAATTAGTCAATCATCAATTGGTCGTAATTATTAGTGAATCAAATTCTCTAGAAAGAATAGTATTTTTATAGTGAGAGAGTGAGCAAGTAATAATTTTATGTAGGGGGTGTGTGTTATTTAGAAATGCATATAGATGTTATTTTGAAACCATGTATATTATTTTAAGAGAGCATGATTTTCTAATTAATGCTCATGAGCATTATTACATGAAAATATGGTACTTAATAAAATATGCCAATCATGAATATCTGTATTTCAAAAGAGTCAAAAACACTTCATAGCTGGTATGCTTATCCAATACTATATAAGATGACTATTAAAGAGTTTTTTGATAAACTCATTATGGGTAAAATATCTCCAGAATGCAATATTTCTGTAAACCTCTTTGAAATGATTGATCATATTGAATTAAGCCAAATGTTAGAAGCAGGTACAACCACTATTCAAGCTAGTTCTTATTGTGAAATAATAGAGTCAACTAAAGCATTTGGTTTAAATATACACTACTATCTTAAAACTAGTAATATTATAACTTCTCATTTAGTGCTGTGTCAAAATGTATTAGAAATTCTTATACAAACTCAAAAAAAAAAATTTTTGCCAAGCTCTTTGAAATATGAGAAATTAAACAAGAAACAAGTATTATATAATGATATAATCGAATAGATTTATCAAATCAGTGGAGAGTGGTCTTCAATTGAGAACACTAATTCACAAGAAAAAAAGTTCATTAGTTGTCTATATAAAGCAATTTGGTATATTGATATACATAATCACTTAAAATTTAAGGAACGCAGCTATCATATTCCAGAGTTATTTATAGGGTTCTTCAGCCATGCTAATCCAGAATCATATAAAGAATCACGAAAACCTTTTAATACAATAGAATTAAATCTCTATTGTCAGGCCCTTGCTTCATATACAACATTATAGTGAATCTTAAAACCATCATTCACTTGGCTTCGTAAGCTCTATGATATCTTAATTGCTGTAATTTTAAATTATGTTAGCTTTTTAAAACAGCAAAATAAAATTACAACAGAAAACTATGCATCAATAACTCCAGTTCGAAGCATAGAACAGGCTATAACAATTAAAATCCATAAAGACAATACCTACATAATGTCAAATGACAAAACCAAATATCACCAATTAGAAAATACGCTCGAGGATTTACCTTTATAAATCCCAATCAATATTGAGAAATACCTACCAACAGATTCTGTATAAGTAAAACTAAAAATAATAATTGTTAATAATTAATATGACTCTACTATATATAGTTAAATTAGAATTTAGTACTAGGGTTGCTAATAAAAGGGTATATGTATACTTGCTGTCCAAATCAAAATCCCAAATAAATCATCTAAAATCTAAATCCTAAACATAATAAAATTGTCACAAATCCTAAATTTTACTATAGAGGTTTTGCCAGCAAGTATAGGTATGTGAAGAATAGACTAGAATATCCATCATTTGATATTTCAAACAATGATTTTTCTAGACTATTCTCATATATGAATTTATATTTTTAAATAGAGACCCTAAGCTTCTGTATTTACCAATTTCAATATCTGTTATGATAAATAATTATTAATCACAATTATTTTGCAGTTCAAGAATGCATTATATATAGGGATTATCTCAAGTGTTTACTTTTAAACTTGGTAAATTTCGGTTTAACTCTGGTAATAATGCATATAATATAATTTCTATTTGGAAGATCGATAGTGATGTTGATAAAACTACAATAATGCAATGAAATACAAATATAGTTAATAAACTTCAAACTCATTTTTCTTACTATCACACTCACGCAATGAGAGCAAACTATTTTCACATATGTGACTTATTTTTACCAAAAGTTAAACCTGCAGTACTTCATACTCTTTATCATATATTAACCAAAGATTCTTTTGCACCAGGATCTGTAAATGAAGCCAAAATAGATGAAAGAATTAAACTAGTCCTTGAATTAGGAGATCCTGAAATTACAATTGTTTGCGTGAACATAATCCTAGAAGACCAAATAAATTTGATACTTTTTGAGAAATTGTGGCTAACTTTCTTTCAAAAAAAGTGGCAGATTTTGTAACTGCAGTCGATGAACATCAATATGACACAATCGTCCACCTAGTAATAGCGATTTTAATTAACGATTTGTTAACCCAAATCAAAAATGAATGCCTACCCAATATACCAATTCCAAGTGCATAGTGGCTTCGTTTACAATTATAGTCTAAATACTTAACATGACTTAATAGTTTGCAATACACTGGACACCTACTTTTAAAGTTTATGGTACTAATAGTATTACAATTTAAAAGCTGACAAAATTAATAAGTTGATCAGTTGACAACTAATTTATTAAAAAATTAATTAGTTCAACTAATCGACTAATTGATTAATCAATTAGCTTATTGATCAATTAGTTAATTGCAACTAGCATAGTAAAATAATATCTAATAGGGTGCCAATAGATGCTGTTAAATTTTGGATAAAAGAAGGTCAATAGAGTATCAATAAACATCAATCAGAATAATATTATTTTGATTGATGTTTATTGATACTCTATTAACCTTCTTTATGCCAAAATTTGATAGCAATAGATAAGTTTATTAGTACCTTATTAGATATTGTTTTATTTGTGTAGTTGTCAACTGAAAAAAAATAATTAACTGACTAATCAATTGACAAATTGTAATACTAGATACAAGTTCAGCAGCTTCGCGCATATCATCCAAATACATACTATGCTTCAGCGTTGTTTAGATATAAAAAAGAATTTGCTACAAAATTTTGTGAAATCACAACGTTAGTATTTCTAGATGATAAACATAGGTGTAAAGTTGGCAAACATGGATATCCAGTTGCTGCTATAGAAAGAGGTAAGTTGTAGTTGGTAAAGAATCAATATTGATGGTTGGTGATCATGATTATATAAAGACTAGAATAATACCAAGTGTTATAATAATGTATGATATCCCAGAGTCAATTAATGGAGATTTTTTATACGGGAGAAGTTCATATTAAATTAAAAGATACTATTTTTCAACCTTCCTCACCAATTCGTCATGCGGCTGAATTATATAATGTTCTACTTGAAAAAAATAATATCAATAAGCCTGTCTTGTGCTTTTATACAAATGGTGGTCCAGATCACCATTGCATATTTATGAGCATGCAACTATCATATATTTGTTTATTTCTAGCTTTAGATCTAGACTATTTCATTGCTGTAAGAACATTACCTCAATACTTATAGAAAAATCCTGTAGAGTACATAATGTCCATCTTAAATCTCAGACTTCAATGTATTGGTCTAATGAGAAGTAAAATGGATAATAGGTTAGAAAAATTAATAAATAAA